TACACAGAGATTCTGTTATTCTGTATTTCATATCGAGAAGAAATTGAATATCTTTACAATTTTTGACGGTCTTTAAATAGACCATGTTATTAAAAGAATTTATAAAGACCACGTATCTTAATTATCTTTTCTAGACATAACAAGACACCTTCTCAGGCGTTCACATTGGCCTTACAAGTCGTACAATGCGTGAAGGTGTGTAATGTCCGGACGCGATTCGACAACGCGGCTCGATTTTTTAGTTTTTGAAAGTTAATAAAACAGCCAATGAGAGCAAATTTCGAAAGCTATGTAGACCAATGTATACCAAATAACTCGAAATGTTATACCGCTTCTAAGTGTTTGGAAAATTTAAACTAGAATCAAAGTTATCGGTCAGTGAAAATCGAAAAATCGCGTCCGGTGTGTCTGGACCTTAAGGTTAAAACAGTTGGTAGAACAGTTTGAATAACACTAGGCTAAAGATGATAAACAAACAATATATAGTAAACAAACCGAAGGCCCCAAGTAACAAACGTTTAAGGATTTTAAACGTAGACAGACTACAGGGTTCAACTAATACGCAGGCCGTAATATACCAGAAACATTTGAGTACTGCTCATAAGTTTCAAAATTCAAAGAACACTATATTAATAGTATAAACAAACAAGGCAAAAAATTCTATTGCATAGTCAGTCCGCCTCTAACCTGGCGGCCATTTTGACTTGAGTCCGCGATCCATTGCAGGTCAGTGGTTCACTTCATGAACGTAGGTCGATTTCACGTTGGCGAAAAAAACAACGAATTTTCGCACAGAAAATTAGGGAACCTAAACACTGGGCCTTGCCGCCAGTGTAACAAGACGCCGGGTGAGGCGTTCAGACTGGCCTGAAAATGGCAATTTTCGTGGTAGGGTGTAATTTGTGAGAGAAGTAGATAGGGATACAGGAGGTCTGGACGATATGAATACAACCAATAAATACAATCATGATCAGCAACTATCAACCGTAATATACCAAGACGAATAACTAGCTCTACGCATATAATATAGCTTTTAAACTATGCATCTGCAAACAAGGCAGCATCCAATAATAGGAGAGTATTTTTTATTTTATAAACAAAGGAAAGTCGCATTCGAATTGTTTTCGCTATTTGTGAAGCCAGCTTTTGACGGTCTTAAATAGACCATGTTAATTGACCATATTTATTGATATATGAATTAAAAAAGTCCACCTTGATTATAGCTTTAAAACTACGCATGCGCAAACAAGGCCGCACCGTAATAATTAGGGAGTATATTTTATGTTATAAACAAAGAAAACATTCAACTTTTCCGATGATTCGAAAATCCCTTCTTTTTTTGCAAAAAGCTATTTTTGACGGTCTTAAAGACCTTCACAAATTAATTCATAAAGACCACCAAATATATGGACAGTTTATGCATAAGATGTAGATCGGGGAAATATTGAATTCTAATTGGCTGAGCGCGTGTGATCGTGATCTAACACAAAGTAAGTACGTACAGCTAGAGGTCCCACTTCAGATTAATTTAGCATAAAGCTCCACAGGGAGCAGAGGAGTCGAGTTTATCTAGTAAAACAAGACAAACACCATCTTACCTTGTTAATTCTAGTATATTTCATTGTAGAATCCCAATGTGTGCATTAAAAATACATTTTTATTCATCAAAGTTATCGAATATAAAACCAAAATATGAATTTCAACAATTAATATACTCCGCTGCCTTGAATTACCGTAGACTTGTATTTCCCGAAAAGCTAACGAACACTGTCCGAGATATCAACGAGTAAGAAACTAAGAAAGGGAGGAAATATTGCAGATCTTTCGTCGCATGTGCACCGCAACACCCTATGACGGAAGTGAATAAAACCGGCCATTGACCAATGACGAAGCAGAACTTCATTTGACAGTTGTAATTAGTATTCGAAAAATTTGAACAATCATGCATAAACACGAAACAATACGTCACTTCCGTCATAGGGTGTTGCGGTGCACATCGTACAAAAATAATCGATGAATATCGGTCGTCAAATATGTAGGTTAAACGACCGTTTATTGAAATTTATTTCCTAGCGTAGTAAGAATAGATCATTTCTAGCTTGCATGCAAAAAATTATGTTTTTTTATGAAATACTAAGCAAGTTATAGCCATCCTAAAATATCACCCCAATGACTGTTTCCTCCCTTTCTTCGTTTCTTATTGTTTACTAAGTATAGCGAAATGCGAGCCCACGATAATCTAGAACAGCAGAGTATATTCATTTGGTGTTCATGTTACATGAAGTACGAATAAAACATCATACAAGGCAATGAAGGCATACAATGTTTATAAACTTTATATGGTTTCACGACAATTTCAACAGACTATAAATTGTAAAGTATGCATTTTAATGCACACATGGGGATTCTACAATGAAAGATATTACAATTAACAAGGTAACTAAGACGGCGTTTGTATTGTTTTACTAGATAAACTCGACTCCTCTGCTCCCTGTGAAAGCTCGGCGCACACTAGAGCAAAATGTATGGAGTGTTTGCATGTGACGTCCTAAAAATTCTAAAAGCTTAAGCGTTTAACATATATAGTTGCCCATTTTATATATTTTGTATATCCTTACTAGCAGTATTCCAGGCAAATTGCAAGTCGATTCAACTGAATTCCTTCGCGAGTTAAGGCCATGTTACACGGTGCAATTTTTCTTGCAACTTGCAATGCAATTCTGCTCTTGAGAGATGTTAATTAGTGAAATCTGTGAAGAATTTTCGACCTGTTGAG